TGCAGAAGGATTTTAAGCTCTCAGTATTAATTATAGCATTAAATAAAAACCAATAGAAATTCCAGATGGCTCTTACAAAGTTTCAAAAAAGTGAAACAAAATTGTATGCAAATCTAATTTTAACAATTATAACCTGTTGTCTTTCAGATTTTAATAGAGAATGGTATGCACTATAGATAGATTTAATTCTGAAAGTTATAAAAAGAATGAGGAGACTTATTTTTTTCTTTTTATCTTCATAGAATTACATTTTTATTTTAAATTAGTCTATATTAATCCTAGATTACTGTCAATCTATTAAATAATCTAAAAATAACAGCAACTTATATTTTTGTAACAAAGTGCTCTCAGAAAAAGTAAATAATTTGCACTTCATTACTGCCATGTGAGAGGTAGTACAGTTATTACTCCCACTTCTCAAATGAAAACAAAGGCTCAGAGAAGACAAAAAATTTGCCAAATATATCTCAGATAAATTCTGAGATTAGAAACTAGATCTGTGACACTAAAAAACTGCCCCTAACGATGTAACAAGACCAATATAAAAAACACAGTTAGGCATGTTAGTAATCATCCTTATTTACTTACTTTAGAGGTAGCTTTATGCTCCAGACTTACTCCAAGGATATTTTGGATCCATTCTCTAAAAGTTGGTAAAATCATGCCACTAAGAGGGTACCTAAGGTACAAAGAAGGTAAAATATTAGAGCAAGGTATCTTCATTTAAATTTAAAGCTAAGATTCTTCTTCCAGTACTGGTCAAGCAGCTCCTGTCAAGCAAACTCTCCCACAAGCAACTATAAACTCTGGACAAAAACAAAATAAAACAAACAAAACCCAGCTATCTGAAGGCAGTATAGACAGACCAAAAGTAAGCGAAAATAGGGGAGAGCAGTGTTCTACACTTAGAAGAAGGAAAAAAACACTACATGACTTTCCAGTTTTGCTTTGTTTTTTTTTGAATAGGTTTTTAGCCTTAGGACAGGCCCTAGCTAACGCCATAAAAGGTAACAAAACTGCTGAAAACCTACAGTTTTCCTGGCTTGAAGAACCAGAGGAGAATGTTTGGAGTGAATACTGCATTTGAAAAGTATACACAGGGAAATCACAGAAAGAATAGAGCCAGAGAGGGACCTATGTATTAACTCTATTCAAATGTTTAGCTGACCCAGAATGATACACGTATGGAGGATGTATTAAAGTCTTCCAAGCAGCCCAGTTAAGCTTAAAAGAATTCAACAATCCAGCTGCTTGCCACCACAGAGGGACAGATTTGGAATCTGAGATTAGTCAAGTTAATTGCTTGATTTAAAAAAAAAGAAAAAAAGGTCTGTTTAGAGGAATGTAACAGAATCCAGAGTACCTACAAGACGTAATGCAAAACACATTCCAAAGATACACTCAAAAATTACTAGACATGAACAAACAAGAAAATGTGATCGATAATCAAGAGAAAGGGCAATTAACAACTGACACCAAGATGCCCCAACACACTGCAAATAGCATGTAAGGATTTTAAAGCAGCTATTATAACTATGCTAAAGGACAAAACAGAAAACATTCTCCCAGTGAGTAACAGAAAAAAATCTCAGCAGAGAAATAAACTATAAAGACAAACACAATAGAAATGCTATAATTGAAACTCTGAGACATTCTATTGGTTATCTCATTAGAGTTTTAATTTGAATTTTACTGATTACTTATGAGATTGAGCATCTATTCATTTATCTATTGTCCACTTGGATACCCTGTATTTTGAATGCCAGTTCAAGTCTTTTGCTCATTTTCCTATTGGTTTATTGTTTTCTCATTAATATATAAGAAGTCTTTATATATTATGGAATCAAGAATATATGTATTAAACATTTTCCCTTTGTGATTTACCTTTTCGCTCTCTTAAGAGAGTCTATGAATGAAAAAAAGTTCTATATTTTAATGTTGTTTAATCGATATATTTTTTTCTTTATGAGTTAATGCTTTTTGTTCTGTTTTTTACCTACCTTAAATTTGTAAAAATATTCTGTGTCTTCTTCTAGCAGTTTTATAGTTTTAAGCTTATACATTTAAGGTCTGTAATCCATCTGGAATTGATTTATGTATATGGTATGAGGTAAGATCAAAATTATTTTTTTTCCAAGATGGTAGCTGAAGTCCTTCTACAGCTATTTTTATTTGTTTTGTTTTGTGTTTTTAAATGGAGAAAAGAAGAGTGACTCTAATAGTCACTATATATTCCACATCAAAGAACAATTAAACCAATATTGAAACTAGATTAGAATAGATTATATTCTGGTCTCAACATCTATGTCTTGCAAACTATTTAAAATGCACAACATGAAATACTTTTGCTCAAAATTACAGTCCTCCCTCAGTATCCATGGGGGATTGGTTCCAGGACTCCCAGAGATAACTAAATCCTCAGATACTCAAGTCCCTTACATAAAATGGAACAGTATTTGCATATAACCTACACACATCCTCTCATATATTTTAAATCATCTCTACATTACTTATAATACTTCAAAAAATGTAAATGCTATATAAATAGCTGTTATACTATATTTTTTATTTGTATTCTCTTTTATTGTATTGTTATTTTTTCAAATTTCTTCTATCTGCAGTTGGTTGAATCTGTGGATGCAGAACCTGCAGATACGGAGGGCAAACTGTATTTCCCACTCATTTCACTGGAGCTTGAATAAATACAGAAGCTTTTAGCAACTAGCCTCAAAAGATTACTTTGATTTCAGAAAATGACAAAAAAAAAAAAAAGCAGTAGCAGCAGCCAGTGGGTGATGATAAAACTCTGCACCAAAAGTAAATATATGTATATAATAATGCAAAATTCAATATTAAAGGAGCCAGTGTTGGGCCCTATCCAAAAGAATTTTTAATTTGAAGTGATAGAGCACTCATTTGGTCACATAATTTTAACGATTACACAGCATGAGCTCTGAGTGAATGTCACCTCTTATGTTAGCCTCATATACAACAAAAATACTATCTAAAATTCTCAAACCAATCTTTACCTAAAGGTTAGCATGATAAAAATCATAGCAGAAAAGAAGAAAAAATGATTAAATATCTCAAGTGCTAAAAATCAAGCTGAAATGCTATGTTTGAATTTAGGTATTATATAATATCTTTTTCATAAATCTACAGAAATTGGAATGACAATAAGTATGAGACTCACAGCTGAAACAACTAGTCATTTAGCATATAAAATATTCTTCATGTTAGTGAGGTAAAAGTATAAATTCTAGGAAGCTGGTTATAATGCATGTGCTACTATGTGTTAGTAATGCCCTACAAAAAGACCAATTTGGAACAATTAGATTTTAATACCGGGCCCTTACATTTTAAGTGTACAATTACTTTGCATCTCTGTAAAATATAGATCGTTGATATTCATGACAGAATCATCCTGAGACCTTTGTGAATCCCATCATTCACAAATAACATCACCCATAAAATAAAAAGGGGACGACTTTCAAGATATAGTACATAGCCTACAGCATAGAAAACTGCTAAAATACAAATGACTATCCCCTTCCAGAAATGCTGTACATTCCAGGTTCAAAGACAGAGAGAGACAGAGAAATGAAGACAGTGTCTGAAAAGAGAGAAAGTTATTTTTTTAACTTCAGAAGATTTATTTTTTTCCTCAGAAGATTCTGAAAAGCCAATCTCCACATGGATAAGTTTCTACTGTACTAGACATTATTACTCTATTTAAAAAATAAAAGACTCACATTTAGAACACTGGTATATTTAATTTTAACCAGTAATCCCTTCTACCTGAATTATACAACTTCTCAACTAAGCTTCCATCTGCATGCTACCCAGTCACACTTAGGGATGGGAGTAAGAACACAGACAATATTTATTTTTCCTATTAAAAAACATGTAATATACATCTTTATACTTTTGGGTTTTATTTTAGGTCAAAATACATATTCGTAAGAAAATGGCTTGATTATGTTGAAATGAAAAGGAAATAAATAACTTTTCCAAAGGAATAAAACTTACTTCTTTGTTGACAATTCAATATGTTGATATAGCACATAAGTTTAAAAAAACATTAACCTAATGCCCAATAGATACTAAATCAAAGTGCAATACTAGAATAGACTTATAATACATCTAATCCAATTTTTTACTTTGTCTCAATTTTTAATTTATTTTTATAGAACCAGCATACAAGTATTACATATTTGTACTTGCTGCCCTTTCAAAAGTTATATCAAAATTCAACAGACAAACCAAAAACACAGCTTTGGCAGGGGCAAGTATTACTTAAAATCAACTAAGAACTCATTTTACAACTCTATCCACATCTAGAACAAGCAGTAATAATACAAATATCCTTTGGAATTCTTTTTTTTTTTAATTTTTTCCAGCTTTATTGAGGTATGATTGAATAAATATCCTTTATAATTCTAATGCATTATCTACCCAAAACATTTCAGAAATGTGAACACCATCACACAAAAAACTGATCTTTCTTCATCACTTCTTCTCTAACATATCTCAGAAACTAATTTTTAAAATACTATTTACATGCACACAGACCTAAAACTGTTCACCTTTCATAGTAACTCACACTCAGATGTAAATGACCAGACTTAAATATAAAGTTGCTTTCAACAAATCAAAGGTGTGGGGACTGGGTGGTAAGGTGGTCATAGACATTATTTGGAACTTGATTCAAATAAACTACCTATAAAAGGCATTTGTGAGACAATTAGGGAAGTGTGAATATGGACTGGATAATTAGATATAAAATGTTTTAGTTTAAGATATGATGGTACCATATGATTGATTATATTAGGTCCTTATTTTTTAAGGAATATATACATATATATATATAAATATTTAGAGGTGACTTGACAATGTCAGAATTTGAAATATTACAGGAAAACAAAAGAAGCAATTATGGCAAAATGCTGACAATTTTTAAATTGGAAGAGGGATAATTATATTTTTATGTATGTTTACAATTATTTGTAGAAAGAAAGAGGAAAAGATGGAACAAAAGAAGGAGTAAACAAATCCAGGTTACCTTTTCCCACTAAACTCAATTTGGCCCTTCTTATTGAAGAAGAATTTGGAATCATTATATCCCCATCCATTCCATTTCATAACTTCTTGCCTAATAAGAAGAAAAAAACAGATAAATGAGACTTATGCTGAACATCTCAAAACAGTGTATCATTGATTATTAACTTTTACAATTATTTAAGAGACCTTATGCCCACTGATATTGTATTACTTTAAATAAAATGAGCACTTATTAAAATGTCTACATACTAATATTTCTCAATACAGAATCACGCTGATGAGCAGCACCTGCTTTATAAAAGGCTACAACCAATAAATTTAATGCGTTCAAAGGAAGAAGAAAGAAAAAGATGAAAAAAGGTATATGATATGCTTTAAGTACAAATATGTTTTATTTTGTATATGTTATTGAGTTTACATTGTTGGACAGCCTAAAAAGTTCTGCAATTAAAACTAACAATTCACTTGAACAAGAAACAAAGTTTTGTATATATTAGAAAGTAGATTAAAAATCTCAGTGCTGGGTTTACCAACATTCTAAATCCTTCAACTTCCATGTAACTACCAATCTCTACCTTGATTTACATATCATAATAGTTGATGACTATACCAGTTTTTAGTATTCTAAAACAATATGCTTCTTTAATTTCTAAATACCAGTATTTCAAAATACCAGTTTTAAAAATCATTTTCATCAAAACCAATGACTTAATCATTCAATTCTGCACATCACATAAGAATAGATAGGTCTCAGCCTGTGCAGAAGACAATAAGCAACCACACTGATGTATTGTGTCAGTTTTATTACATGTTATAGAATGGGACCCTACTGTGATCTTGGCTACTGAAATAAACTGGTGGTGAATCTTATTATAAATTCAACTATGCAGTTTATGATGCAAATAACTTGACGAAAACTTTTCTCTATCTTGAAAGTTATTTGCTGCATTAAAATTTCAAAATAAAGATACACTCAGAAAGTGTTCTTCTAATTCTCCGCAATTTTCAAAAAAGAAGAAAATGACAACTGACAAGCAAATTTTTATTAAAATCATAATTCCTGCTCTAATTCAAAGGCTTTTCAAACAAGTGGAACATGAACATAATACAACTGAATCAGATACAGGGAATTAATTATGAATTGAAATCTCCAGCTATACATAAAATTGTGACAAAGAACCAGGAATGCTCCTTAAAATTACAGTTTACTATCAATAAAAACTACAGTCCCTATACAAAACTGTTCAAATACCTGAAGATTAACAATCAAGAAACTGGATTTGTAGATAAGTCAGTTATAGTTTATAGTTAGTTTAACACCAGATATTTTCTTCTAATCCCATAACATTCCTACCTCACTATATAGGGAGGTTTTAGAAGAGAATTTTTGGAAAAATCTCTACAGAAAAACCTCGTGACTAATGTTGCCTTTGACACACTTAAGATTTTACTTTCTTTCCTTTTTTTTTTGGTGCCAAAACCAGATTAGGCTACTCAGGAGGCTGAGGCAGGAGGAACACCTAAAGCCAGGAGTTTGAGGCTGCAGTACACCGTGATTGTGCCTGTGAACAGCCACTGCACTCCAGCCTGGGCAACGGAGCAAGACCTTGTCTCTTAAAAACAAACAAACAAACAAACAAGCAAACAGATTCAGTTATTTACCACTTTGCTTTTGTTCATGAGTAAATTCTCTCTACTTTTATTACATGTAATTTACTTAGCATTTTCTTAGTATATTTCCACAAAAATTTATATTAAAAGAATAATGTATATTTTTAAAAAGTAACATCTTTACTTAATGTTTTATAACATGCACATAGATTATTATACGTGAATGTATTTTATTAATTAGTGAATTTAAACATTTATCATGAATTCTATACTCTACAAAATGGTAATTTGGTATTACACAAAATAAATGCAAAAATACCAAAAAAGTCATTTTGCCTGAGAAATCACTTCCAGTACAGATGATGAATTTGGCATGTTTATGAAGCTTAACGGTAAGAATCATTTTCCTTAAAATTATTCCTAGAATTTAAAAAAAATTATACCCAGATTGCCTCAAAGTGAAAACCTAAACCTGGTTATAAGGGCTCACTCTGAGCACTTCACAAGGAAAAAAAAAAAAAATGAAAGTGAACAGGAAAGATCTGCTGCTACATACTACAAAATGAAGACATTTATATACTGAACAATCTTTGGTCTTAAATTTTCGAATTGGGTAATATCCTAAAGAACTCCCAAAACAAACTTGTTTCTCTTTTCATCCCAATCAGGAAACTAGCTAATGTTACCAGCAGTTGATATGAACACCTCAGTTCTTGTCTCCTCATGATAGAAGAATGAAAGCAAGGGACATGGAAGTTTAAATCAGTGAGCAAAGAAGTTTATTAGTAAGCAATAGTACATTCCTAAAAGGGTAGGAGTGGGCACACTTTTAAACAGTGGCCTTGGGGAATATGTGTCAACCCTTTTTCTCCCATTTGGCCTCGCCTCCTTTCATGATGTCTCTTCCCCTTATTTCTTGACCAATGGGGATGCTGTCTCTTCCCTGCCATCGGGTGGGGGTGTCTTTCACCTTACATGGTTAGGCCTGGCACCCAAAGCCCACACTGGGAGGCGGGGGAGGGGACCGCAAGATCTATAATGTGCCCTGCATTGTTTCTGTTATGTTTCTTGTGACACTTGCGGTTACCTTTATATTGTTATTGTTACTCAGCATCCCCTTTGTTCATGCTGCCTGTTTTTTTATTTCCTCTACTCATGTCTCACTTTCCTACCTAAGCTAACATTTTGTGACACTTGCAATTACCCTTACCTTGTTATCGTTACAGTATGTTTTCTTACTTAGCATCCCCTTTGTTTACACTGCCCATTCCATAGTTCCTCTGCTCATGTCTTATTTCCCTACCTACGCTAATATTATGGGCTCTATCATATTTATACCAACTTCTGGAGTCCTCTTAGAAGGTGAAATGTAGGCATTTGGAATGCATCTGTGCCCAAAACAGTGTTATGTTGCTTAAATAGTATATAATTAAAATCTAGATTAACCACAAACCAATCTTCTGATATCTTCGAGTATCCCATGTGTTAAATAAAAAGTAGGTAAATTTTGTAGGCTTCTGGTTTTAAACTTTTATACACATGCATCCCCTCAAATTACTAATATATATTATGATAGTTAAACACCAACAACATGATTACATTAAATTGTATTAAATAAAATGATTTCTTATAGAGAAGCTAAGAGTATAAGGACATTGAAGGGTATTACATTAACATTAACATTTTAAAATTAGAGTAAAGCTCTACATGATTACAGAATTCAAAAGCTAAAATGATCTGTAGGAACCACCCAAGTTAGCTGCTCATTTTTCAGATAAAAAAACTGTGCCCAGAGAAGAACCCCTGGTCCTGCAGTTAAGCTAGATGTGAGCTTCCAAAGGCTGATTTCCAGTCTTGTGATTCTTTCTCTTCAGAGTGGTAATATTTGAAACCTTCTATGCCATACCTTCAGATAGCCAAAAGGATTTAAAGGAACCCATTTTTTTTTCCACATCAATATTTTTCAAAGCACTATTACATGTTACTACAGGTTGACTATCCCTTATCTGAAATGCTTGGAACCAGAATTGTCTCGATTTTGAATTTTTTCAGATTTTGGAATATTTGTATATACATAATGAGATATCTTGGGGATAGGACTCAAGTCTAAACATGAAATTCATTTATATTTCATATACACTTTATCACATAGCCTGAAGGTAATTTTATACAATATTTTTAATAATTTTGTGCATGAAAAAAGTCTGTGTACATTGAACCATCAGAAATTAAGGTGTCACTATCTCATGTCAGTTCTCAAAAAATTTCAGATTTTGGAGCATTTTGGATTTCGGATTTTCAAACTAGGGATGCTCAACCTGGATTGCAGTCATTCTTCTGTACTTGACCTAAAGGAAAACATTTAAAAATCAAGGAATATGGTTGTGTCAGAAGCCAAATGCCCTCTACCTCCTACAGTGTAATGAATTCTGCCATTAAGAATAACTCCAAAGCACTGTGAACACTGAAATGAGGAATGATTAAAGAATCACCAAGTTCCCATAAGATTCTTGTAAAAGGATGCAATTCTCTTGATTTTACTGCATAAAAATAAAACAAACGTTTTACACATTTACACATCTGACCACAGTAACAAGCAGTGAAAAAGCAAAGTATTAGTTGGTGAAACAAAAGAAAATGGAGCCATAAAATAGCATCACATATACACAAGGTGGCAGTATTCTCCCATGATATACATGATGTACACATTCAATATTTTTACATTTCCCTGGACTGTACAATCTTTTTTTTTTTTTT